CCCTTAACTTCATATCTTTACCTAATCAGGAACTATATTCTCAAATATGTTGAATTCAACTTAACTGAGATTTTTTGCCTAGCCTGAATAAGAAACTTATAGTATGCATTGACAGCAGAGCATAAAAAAGGTCACACAGTTGCAGTCTCCTCTCCTTAGTCTTTGCAACAGATATTCACAAGAGGTTAAGAGCCATAAAAATGAGCTTAAAGTAAATGACAACATGCAAGGGAAGCAGACTTGTTAACACAAGAGATATTTAATTTTGACTCGTGATCATGAAGTGGTAAATGCATTTCTAGGCTCGAAACAAAAGAAAGATTAACACATCTATTGGTAGTAGTCTATTAAATTCTGTATAATTGACTTAAGCATTGCAATGACTATCTTGTATTCATATTCATTTTTTAAGGATAATTTAATCAAATGGAAAACAAATAGTTCATCCAACAAAACCAAAAGGGACAACAACAACAACAATAACCCAGTGAATTCCCAACAACAACAATAACCCAGTGAATTCCCAACAACAACAATAACCCAGTGAATTCCTACAAGTGTAGCCTTACCCCTACCCCTACCCTGGAAGGTAGAGAGGTTGTTTCTAAAAGACCCTCGACTAAGGAAAAGAAGAAAAAAAGTAGTGGCAACAAGTAATAACAACAACAAGATATTATGGTAACGAAGCAAAGATAACAATCAAACAATAGATAGTACTAGCAATCTAAGGATAAAAGGATACCATATTAAAACAAATGCTACCGACTTGAGAAAGACAAAGGGACACGCTCGCCTACCTACTAACCTTCTACCTTAATCTTCGACCTCCACGCCCTCCTATCAAGGGCCATGTCCTTGGTAAGCTCCGGTTACGCCATGTCCTGCCTAATCACACCTCCGCAATATTTCGTAGGCCTACCTCTAGCCTTCCTCATACCCACCAAGGCCAACTTCTCACACCTCCTAACTGGGGCATCTGTGCTTCTCCTCTTCACATGCCCGAACCATCTCAACCTCGCCTCCCGCATCTTATCCACCACGGGAGCCACTCCCACCTTATCCAGAATAACTTCATTCCTAATTTTATCTAACCCGGTACGCCCGCACAAAACCAAAAGGGACAATGTAGACAAAAGAGCTTTACAATGATTGTAACTCCATCAGATGAAAAAAAGAGGAATTTATTAGAAGGTCTGCCACCCAATTATATTTCTCCGCCTTTTCTTTTGCATGTGATTTTTAATTATTGTTTTTATGCTTTCCTGTTGAAGGATTATGTGCGTGTTTGTATGTCATGTTGGTCAGCAGGAGAGGGTGTGTGGAAAGGGGTGACACTTGTTTATTGCAAGCTTGTGTTGTACTATTTTAATGGTCTGGGCACTAGTAGTAATGATGACACTGCAGTTTTTTTAATACTAGAGTGGAATTTGAAAAACTTGGAAATTTATCCAAATTTCCATCTTTATCTCACTAGCTTGTCTTGATTAGGCCTACTCCAAAGTCCAAATTCTCGGAATTTATCATCTCAGCAAGTTTCCATATGTGGTATTGCAGGTACAACTGATCCGCATCCAATTGCGTCTTTCAGGAATTGGTTGGACAACACAAAAGGTTTTTCACTTGATGAATTTTGTTGTCTGTGGATGTAAGATTTCCTTTACTTTCTAAAAGTTTTGCTAGAAACTGTTCGCATCAAGTTATTCTGATGCTCACAAGGACCAAATGATTTGTTGGCAGTGAGAGCGATTCTATTTGGCGTCTACAGGAGTGTGTTTAATCTAAGACCAAAAGTAAGTCTTTTCTTTCCCGTAACCATTCTAATATCCACTTTGCAGGTGAATAACTTGCAGAGTAGGCTGCTGTCTCCTAAAATTCTAGAATGTACTCTCAAGGGAATTACACTGCAAGAGAAGGAATTTAACTCATGAATGTCACCGTTTAAGTAGCATTTGTCTCATTTTGATGAAACAATCATTTCCAATTCTTTGAGCCTGAACTGAGAACAATTTATCCTTGTTTAGCATCAACTCATCACCAACCTAGTAGATCTCACAGAACTGTATCAGTAGCTGCAAGCCTGTGGTTAGTGTATAATCTATGGACTTAACTTCACCTTGTTTAACATCAATTTACTGTCTGTTTGAACTGTCTTGTGAGCAATTCCCAGTCCCAGAGCGAAAATAGTCAAATCATCCATTCCTTCTACTCTCGGCTTTCTTCTGTCTCTCTTCTTATTCCATGACTTTGTAGCTGATATGAAAGTTTCTGACCTTAACAGATTGATATTTCCAACTCTTGCTGAATTTGATTGCAGGCTACATATTAGAACAGTTGCGTTTTTATTTTTATTTTTAACCATACCATGCATCAGAACTGGGATCCAAGTTTTCATATTTTCTTTAAAGAACAGGCATTGTGGCATTTACTTTGTCAATTTAGCTAACACCAATCAACATTTAAACAGGCACTTGAGATGATGCTTCTGGATCTCCCTGGTCTTCTATTCTTTTCCACATATACGCTGCTAGTTCTATTTTGGGCTGAAATATACCATCAGGTAATGCTATTTGATTCTCAAAAGTCTTTAAGGAATCACTCAGACAAGATAGTTTCAAGGGAATCATGTTAAAATATTCCTTAATATATTCGTTGTGGAAGAAGCCTTACCTATTATAATTATTTTCCTCATGGATCAGGCCTTACTCTTTTTTTATTATTTTTCTCAGGCAAGAAACCTTCCCATTGATAAACTTCGACCTGCATATTATGCAGTTAATGCAGTCGTGTATCTTATACAGGTAGTGCATCAAAGCTCTATTCACTTCACAGATAATATATCCCATGTATAAGCAATGGAAGCCTCTCTAAGTTTCTTGCTATTTATAGAACCGTGATATGACTGCAGATATGCATCTGGATCTTCATCAGGCTTGGCCCGACTTCGACTGGTGTTGAAACTGCTAAACTTTTTTTCGCAGGTAGGCTACATATATGCTAATTGTTACTAAAATATTGTTGTCTACAATCTTAATTTAAAAAATCTGAGTCTGCACTTTCTGCAGTTATTTCGTTTTGTGCTGCTCTGGGATTTGTCATGTATGGTGGAAGGTAATTGGTGCCCCAGTGTTGTACAAGTGCCCATATTCTCTTTTCCTATATTCATGTTTCATGAAATTGATCTTTTTTCTTTTCCCTTTTTAATCTCTCTTAAGGTTATTTGCAATGCTTCGGCGCTTTCCTATTGAATCTAGAGGCCGTCAGAAGAAGCTTCATGAGGTTTGTACCTGTTGTAACTGCCTTCATCTTCATTCCGTCATTCTCTTGCCATGTACATGGCAATTAGATGCAAGACTACATTCATTTTGGTGCTTGTTTTTGCCTTTGAGAGAAACAAATCCATCTTCATTGAAGCTTTGGTGCCAAGTCCTACCTTGTCTTTCCGGCCATCGTAATAGTATCTTCACCAATTAAAAACTAGAAATGTAGTTCCCAGCTCCATCCATCTTTGTTTTTGGTTGATAGTGTAGACACTAGGTGCTATCTTCTAGCATGAAACTGTCTAATTTTTGGTAGAATCATGAGAGGATATGGGGTACCTAGTGAAATGCTGAAATAGTCAAAATACACTGATTTATTTTTTCCGCAAAAGTTAAAGGAAAAATGTTTTATCGTGTACTCGATATCAGCCAATCAATCTATTGAGCCTCAATCTCAAACTAGTTGGGGGTCAGTTCTTCAGGTGCATGATTCGTTGTGTATTATATCAAATCCAAATGGTTTCATTGTACTTAAAGGATAGCGTAAAAAAATTTGAGCGTTTAATGTAGTATGTTATAATTATAAGGGGAAAGATAATTATTCCTGTGTAATGAGAATGTGATCTACTTTTGGTCTTTGATGTCTATCGTTGTGCAGGTTGGCTTTGTGACTGGCATTTGCTGCACTTGTTTCCTGATCAGATGTGTAGTGGTAAGTTTCCACTATATCCAAGATACACATATTTGACCGTAGCATGATTAAGAAAATGCATATTTCCATGTTATTTATTTGCAGGTTGCTATTTCTGCTTTTGACGGGAATGCTGATGTTGATGTCATTGACCATCCTGTTCTCATTCTCATCTATTACATGGTAATTTAAGTTATTTTAAGAGTTCAGTTTCTAGATTTTTTACACCATTAGGTTAAATTTACCTACACCAACTCTTGGGAAGCCATGATAATCTATTAATCTCGTAAATAGAGTTAATAACCATTCTATAACTGATTAAAATTCAATTGACAACGTAAAAGTTCTTTACATTGTTATGTCTGAAATTGAATTTAATACTCTATTACGAAATTGAATTTAATACTCGATAAATGTTCTTTACATTGTTATAACCAAATTCAGCCCTTGTGGAACATTTGCATCTGTAACTGTATTTTTCCATTTTCAAGTCCATTCTTAGGTTTATTTAATATTTTATTATTTATCTTCTCTTACTTTTCAAGCTCCCTTGAAGCTTTTTATAGGCGTAAAAGATCTTTCACAAAGATCTTTTTTTTTCCATTTTATTCAGGTGGTGGAGATATTGCCTTCTATATTAGTGCTCTTTATCCTGCGCAAATTGCCTCCACGACGCGTATCAGAGCAATATCATCCTATTCAATAACTGATAAAAGAGCAACACTGATATTAATGCTTCATAGTTTTTGTTGGGAGAAGCCTTTTCCATGCAGCGAAGTCATTAAAAATATTCACAATCTTTTTTTTTTTTTTTTTTTTTTGGGTGGGGTTGGCGTTTGTTCAATTGTATGGAAAAGAGTTCTAGTTTGACTGCAACTCATATTTGTTTAGAAGTCCTGAAATTATTAGCTATTCGGAGTGTCTAAGATATAGAAGAATTTTGATACACCTAAGAGAGTAGTAGTTAGAAGTTTAATGGGACTCAAACGTACTACCTGAGGTTAAATCCTTTCGTTATTTCAATTTATATCGTTGCTCTTGTAAAACCTCAAAGCTAATCTTTTCTTAGTTGAAACATGTCGAGAAGTGGTACATTATGGGTAATTCTTTTCTTGGGTATTTGCATGGGCATGGTTACTGCCACTGCAAGGGAACCTAAAAGTGAGAACGTGGAGTTATTTGGTCGAAGATGGCCGCCTATTCCTTGGTGGAGACTAGCATGGTGGGTACACTACCCAAACTACCCGCCATTGCCTCCGCCTCCGCCCTCGGTTGCTAATGTGATTCCGCCACCGGTGGATGCGGCTCCTCCTCCGCCGCCGCACCCTGCTCGTCCGCCACCTTCTCTGCCCCTTATTACTAATGCAGTTCCGCCACCATCTCCACCACCGCACATGGCTCCACCTTCCCCTCCGCCACCACACGCGGCTACATCACTACCTCCGCAACCAAGTCCTTCTCTTCCTCCAATTGACAATGTGGCTCCTATTCTGCCACCACCACCTCCAGCATTTCAGTCACCGATGGTTAATAAACCTCCTTACACTCGGGGTGATGAACCAAGTGGTTGTTCGATGGTTTTGATAAACGTGGATGGGTGTGTATCAGATTTGATCACTTCCTTTTTCAAGGATCAAGTTTCATTATCCGTTGATTGTTGCAGAGTCATTTCAAGAATTTCAGATGATTGCTTTGACGCAGGGTTCACACACTTCAGGGTGCCCGTTTTCCTAACAAAAGTGAGGGACTATTGCAGTCACCACCCGACATCACTTCCACCTCCGCCCTCAGTTGATGATAACGCTGTCCCGCCGTCACCTCCACCACAACACGCGGCTCCACATCTGCCACCGCATGTGACTCCATCACTACCTCCACAACCGCCTCCGTCTCCGCCCCCAGTTGATAATGTGGCTCCTATACTACCACCATCTCCTCTAGTGTTTCACTCACCGGTGGTTAATCCACCTACACCGCCACCTCCTCCACCTTCGCCATTGCACACGGCTGCACCACCACTGATGCCACCGCATGCGGCTCCATCACTACCACCTCAACCGCCTCCATCTCCGCCACCAGTTCGTGATAACATGGCTCCTACAGTGCCACCACCACCTTCATCGACTCCTCGGGGTGATGAAACAAGCGATTGCTCGACGGTTCTGATCAATGTGGATGGGTGTGTATCAGATTTGATCACTTCCTTCTTCAAGAATCAAGTTTCGTTATCCGCAGATTGTTGCAGAGTTGTTTCAAGAATTTCAGATGATTGCTTTGAGAGAGCGTTCACGCACTTTAGGGTACCAGTTTTCCAAACAAAAGTGAGGGACTATTGCAGCCACCATGGCTGAAGCATAAGCAAATCTTAACAATACATTTTTCATGAAAGCCTTTGTTTCCTAGGCGAGTCCATGCAGAGTCATATTCCTAATAGAAAAGAAAAAACGGATAATTAATGTAATTTTTTTTTTTTTGGTGATTTAATTTACTTGATAGGATTCTGAAGAAAAATGACCAAAATTTCATGTAGTTTGCTTAATGACAATTAAGAGTGGTTGAGTTAAATACTTTACTTAAAATTTATTTATGTAGTTGATTCATCTCGATATTACATTTAGGACAGCAATAGTGACTGCAAGGCAAAAGTAGATTTACCAATAAAGCAGACGAAAAGAGAGACAATAAAGCAATAACAATAATCAGTAGATAAGGTCCAACACATAGATATACTAAAAGTAAGATAATGAAATGGTAAAAATTTACCTACACGGAGTATTTACACTAAACTGTATCAAATTATTATAAATTTATAATTTAGTGATTTGCCTATTGAATTCTATCCTAACGGATTGAGAACAGGGGTTAAATAACATTTGGACCACACTTTTCTACATTAGCCTGATTATAATGCTATTAATGCATAAAAACTAAACCCTTTGATTCTAATATTATCGAGGATACTTTTTAATGCCTTTTAATTTGGCATATTACGGAATTTCTTTAGTTATTTCGCATTGCACGTAGAAGTGACTCATTTCTACATTCTTGTTTATCTCCTTAAAGATATAGATCATGACAGATTTGGCCACAACCACAATAAAGGATTTAGAATAATGAAACAAATATTTAATTATAAGGACTTGACATCATGCTTATTTCCAGATTAAGAATATTTCATATTGGTCGGACTTTCTTCAAGAGAGATACATTGCATCAAATCTACATTGACTTCGTGTTTAATTATTTATTTGCCAAAGCAGGCAAGGGATATCACTAGTGACCAAGGAGAAAAGGAAAATATGTATTTTATATTAATTCAGGAAAATAGCGTGTGTACCATTAAGCATCATCCCATTCTCAACAAAATGGATTAGTCGTAATTTACTGTTCATTCCATATTTATTCTTACTGTCACCTCTTTTTGTCATTTTTCTCAAAAAAAAAAAAAAACGACCAAAATATACCTTTTTGTTTAATAATCTGTTATGCATTTAACTGGTTTTGTAAAAAAGACACGTATTCCCTCCCTTCACTTTTTACTTGTCCACTATTGACTTTGCACACCCCTTAAGAAATAATAAATGAAGTATATAATTTATCATGATACCCATATTAATTGATGTATATTCTTAGCGGTGGAAATAATTTGGAATAAGTAATTAATATTAAGGGCAAAACAGAAAAAATAAATTACTCCATCCGTTCATTTTTACTTGTCCACTATGGACTTTGAACACCCCTTAAGAAATAATAAATGAAGTGCATAATTTACCATGATACCCATATTAATTGATGCATATTTTTAATGGATTTGAGAAAATAACTTGAAATGAGTAATTAATACTACGGGCATAATAGGAAAAAAAAATTGTCTTCTCTTGATATGCTAAAAGTGACAAGTAAAAGTGAAAATTTATTTTTAGAATACTTGACAAGTAACACGGAGAGGGTACTTTTTTCTTGATATATGAAAATGGACAAGGAAAAGTAAAAATCTACTTTTGGAATAATGGACAAGTAAACGGACGGAGTATAAAAGTTCTAAATACATTATTAGGGAAGAAAGTGAAGCTCACCTAGTCCTGAAATATGAAATTGGCTAATTAAGCTTCGGAAGAAATAATCAAAAATTATATCTTGTGTAAAAGAAGAACAAATAAACTGCAAAGGACTTTATTTCACCATCTATCTAAGGAAGATTATTGGTGTTCGACCAAAAAAATTTAGACTTTTTGTTGAACCAATTAAATAAGAAAATTTTAGGTAAATTCCAGCCAAAGATAATTTACACTAGATCTAAGATAGAAGATATGAGTAAGCAAACAAAGCAAGCATAAGATTTGACTATAACATTAAATTAAATCCCATTACATAAGAAGAGGATGATTAGTTTTATAACATTAAACAATAATGAAGAATATATAGATGAAAAGGGTCGTCGATATTTAACGAGGTAGAACCTTGTACCTTTGATATGATGGGACTAACGATATATATTGAGGATCTATACTTCTCTGCTTCTTTATCTTTCGTGGGGAGAGAGGGAGATGAAGGTCTATCCTCCTCTCAGAGAACATGTCTGTGTGTGGATTTATTTTCCGCCCCCTTTCTTCTTCTTCTCACTTAGTTTATATACTAGGTCTTCTCCTTTACCCAATGGTCATTATCCATCGCACCTAAGTCGTTTGACTATACTACGGGTTGACCCCTTGAAATGCCATAATATCCAATTCACCTCTCAAGCATTCTGAATACATGACCTCGGCCACGGCCGAGGTGCGTGTCATTACAGCGTTGTATGGATGTGACTGTCCCAAGTAACTTTTCGCCGTCCCTTTCCATGCCGATTCTTGTCTGGCCAGATTTTGACACATACAGTTAGTCCTTCCGCCCGTTGAGGTCGCCTCTTGGTGAGCTCGATGGGCGGACTCTATCGATTCGAAAATTGTGAGAAATCTGAACACTTTGCGCGAAAGACGAGCACCTTATGGCGAGGCAGTGACGCGACATTTCGAGATCTGCGTCAGACCGTCATGTCAGTTCAGAGCGTCATTAACACTTCTCATGCGTCATTATGGCGCACATTTTCTGTGCATCATATCGTTTTCCGTGCCCTTTCCGTTTTCTAAATGGCGGCGTTTGGTTTCCCCGCTCAGGGCATTTATATCCCTATAAATAGGGGAGAATCTTTCATTTGAATGTTATGCTTCTTAATCGCTCAAGAGAGATTTTTGCAACTCTTCTTCTCCTTCAGTTTCTCATATTTCTGTTTCTGTTAGGATTTGTTGTGACCACTACCTTTTTCCCTTATCATTCTCGTTTCTTTCAATCAAAGAAAAAATGGCTAGTGCTTATCCCCGCTCTAATAGAGCCGTTGGTGCTCCGGTCCGGAAAATGTACCCCTAATCGAAGAGGTAGTGGGTCCGGTGGAGGACGAGAGTTTTCCGACGGTGGATGAGGTGGTTCCCCGTCCAGGGAAGACGAGGACTGATTTCAACAGCCCTGCTGGGGATGAGCCGGAACCTGTTTTCTCGATGATGGATGCTGCGGCGCTCATGGCGTTCAAAGCCAAATGGGGGATTCCCGATCACATTGAGCTAGTTTCGGCGGGTCGGGACATAGTGCATATACATCGTTCGGGCTACTGCCCATTCTACGCATATCTTTTCGTCATTGGATACACGCTTCCCCTTCCCTCGTTGGCGGTGGACTTATGTCGCTTCTACGAGGTGTGTCCAGCCCAAAGCTCTTCGTACGTATACAAGCTCTTCTTTATGCTTAGCAAGTACGGGGAGTTAGCCGATCGAGGAATTTCTCTACAACACATGCTTCACTTCTTCGCCCCCCATTTTCATAAGGGCACGATGATTCATATGCGTCACCGAGGAACCAAGGGTTTGGTGGTTAAGATGGACGACAAGACCAACCGCCGCTTCTGGGAAAATTACTTCTATGTCCGGATGGAGCACGTGGTGTCTAACCCCGCTGGGTTCCCTGAGGTGTGGAATTTCGCCCGTAGGTTTCCCTTTCCTTTTATTATATTACATTTTCTGAACATGGCTGTTGGTCGTCTCTCTTTTATGACCGTAGTGTTTTCTGTTTTCGCAGCCGATAGGGTGCCTCCTCCGCAAGTTGCCAACATTCGCGAATGGGTGAGCGCGATTCTACCCCACATGATGGGGATCCGCGAATGGGCGCCTTTTCATGAGAAGTTTGGGCGCAAACCTTCCACTGGTAAGTCGGCTTGTTTCGGCCTTAGTTGCTTTATTCTTTGCTCTGTCCTTTTTCTTTGTCTTATCTTTGTTATCCAATTTCTTGTTGGCAGGTCGAAGAGGAGCGAGAAGGGAAATGGCTCCTGCCCTTTCTTTCCGTCAACCGGCTTCCTCTGCCCGGCCCGTACCAAGAGCAATTACGGACGAGGGCGGCCAAAGTTTGGTTGCTCGCGTACCGCGTCCGCGACCGAACCCGTTCGTTTGGAGGTTGCTCCTCGGTCGGAGACTCCGGTCCCCACAGTCCGTTCAACGGGCGAACCTTCTCGTGGCCGCGGCGAAGAGACCCCGTCGAAGAGATGAAGGATAGTGTTGGAAGGGACGTCTTTAGCTGAAACACCCTCGAGGGGCAACCTCATTTCGGCGGTGTCTGAATCCGGCGGTGGTGCCAGCCTGGGTGTGGAGGCGATGGCCGGGGGACGCATAGGTGTGAATTCGAATGGGGTCGAATTGTGACCCGTGATGAGTTCGAGCAAGGTCGAACATCGATTTGTTAACTTGAGCGGAGTCGAATTTTACTCACTTGGTGATGGCCGGGACCGTAAGGGTGTAAATTCGAGCGAGGTCGAAATTGTAACCCGTTGTGAGTTCGAGCGAGGTCAAACTTTAACTCTACTTGGCGAGGGCCGACGGCCGTAAGGGTGTAAATTTGAGCAAGGTTGAAACTGTAACCCGTTGTGAGTTCGAGCGAGGTCGAACTTTAACTCTACTTGGCGAGAGCCGATGGCCGTAAGGATGTAAATTCGAGCGAGGTCGAAATTGTAACCCGTTGTGAGTTCGAGCGAGGTCGAACTTTAACTCTACTTGGCGAGGGCCGATGGCCGTAAGGGTGTAAATTCGAGTGAGGTCGAAATTGTAACCCGTTATGAGTTCGAGCGAGGTCGAACTTTAACTCTACTTGGTGAGGGCCGATGGCCGTAAGGGTGTAAATTCGAGCGAGGTCGAATTTTCCTTTCACTCGGCGATGCGCAGGCTCGGTGGAATGGTGAGACTTGTCTGTATCATTGCTTTTATTGGAGAATATTACTCGTTGCTGCATTGTTTATGCGCGCGTCGGGGTAAGTCCCAATTTATTTAATTTTGCTCTCATTGGAGAGCATTGTGCGTCGGGGTGAGTCCCGGTCTATCTAGTCCCTTCATTGACGGGATGGTCGATGAATTTTGTTGCTTGTGCTACTGGGCACCCTGGGACTTGACTGACTCGAACGAAGTTCGGGTGTGATTCGTAATATTTAGTCGGTTGAACCGGCATAGGATTGCCATGGCGAGCATACGTGCAAGCTTTTTGTGCTTATGTTCTATCTGTGTTGGAGAGGCTATGTTCCATGGGCTCACTGCCCAATCCCAGGTTGTGGAAGTTTTCTTAATAATGCCGACTTGTTTTGAGCCGTTTGTCTGTTATTCGCAATATGGTACGGAACGTTTTCCGGGCGTGTTATTTCGGTGGCGTCTGTTCCCAGTTCGTGCACCTGGGAGAGTGCTCGTGTTCCTGTCTCAATCTAGAAAGAAGGAAAAATAACAAGTTAAAAAACCAAACGAAGTCATCCGTTACCTTGACCTGATTGGCTGGTGAGGTGAGAGGGGCACTGTAGGACAACTCATTTAGTCCTGTACTCGAATGATGGTTTCAAATTTTGTAGCCCCGTGCTTAGCTCCGTCGTTAGTCGAGTTTGGACTTCTTACGGACTGACAACTTACTTCGTCCGTTGGGATCTCGAACTCGAGTCCCGATCCGGTCTCGTCCGGGGTGCACAAAAATAAAGGAAACATAAGTTATATTCCGTACATACGGGTAGGACAAGCTTGTTATTTCAAAGAATCATACAACAGGCTATCGTCCTTTCCAGGGGGGGGGGGGGGGAGCTATGCGCACGAAGTATAGATCGGTATCTAACGTTAATATAGCAGATAGGATTGTGGACGTGCTCAGTGCGTAGTGGCCATAATTTCACTTTGACAGCTCATACTCACTACGTGCCAAACCCATCGCTTCAGCAAGACGTGGATTTTGTATAGATATCAGGTTTTGATTTCATGCAAAGATCTGACCCTGGCTGGTTCGGTTATTTTAAAAGCTTGCATACGAAGTTTTCAAGTTGGTGTTTTTAAATGAAAGGGCGAGGTTACGATTACCGGAAAGTGCAACTCTAGCTGACTTTAGATCTAGAGGAAACTAAAATTTTGGCTAGAAAATTCCCATAGACGGCGCCAAATTGTTCTACCGAAAAGATTTAGACTTTTTGTTGAACCAATTAAATAAGAAGATTTTAGGTAAATCCCAGGCAAAGATAATTTACCCTAGATCTAAGATAGAAGATATGAGTAAGCAAACAAAGCGAGCATAAGATTTGACTATAACATTAATTAAATCCCATTTCATAAGAAGAGGATGATGAGTTTTATAACATTAAACAATAATGAAGAATATAGATGAAAAGGGTCACCGATATATAACGAGGTAGAATCCCGTACCTTTTATATGATGGGACTAACGATATATATTGAGGATCTAAGCTTCTCTTCTTTCTCCTCCGTGGGGAGAGAGGGAGATGAAGGTCTATCCTCCTCTCAGAGAACATGTCCGTGTGTGGATTTATTTTTCGCCTCTTTCTTCTTCTTCTCACTTAGTTTATATACTAGGTCTTCTCCTTTACCTAACGGTCATTATCCACCGCACCTAAGTCGTTTGACTATACTACGAGTTGACCCCTTGAAATGCCATAATATCCAATTCGCCTCTCAAGATGCGACTGTCCCAAATAACTTTTCGTCATCCCTTTCCACGCCGATTCTTGTCTAATCAGACTGTGACCCATACAATTGGTATCCAAATTTTCAAAAAAAAAAAAGGCTCAACAAATGATTAATGCTATTCTAGTATTGTTATCAGCTGGTATTGTTATCAGTATAAAACTTTTGATTTTGGAAATTAAACTGTCATTTTTAGTAATTATAACATCTGATATCTCAACCTAATAATAGAAAAATTAAAGAGAAACAATAATAACAGGAAAAAAAGAAGAAAAAAATCAGAAGCAAGAGCTTTGGGTCAAAGGTGGGAGAGAGGGGAAATGCCAGATGGCTAGTGTACACACACCGCCTCTACAAGCACGCCTTTGAGAATTGAAAGGAACGACACATTCAGCCTAAAAATTCAACACTAGCTCCACTTCTCTTGGTCTATAAATTCACATCGTAGTCTAGAGTCCTAGACTCTACACTACATAATACTGTACTGTAGATAGATAAATACCCCATTTGTGATTGTTGAATTTGAAGAAAGGAAATAAAGAAAGCAGAATAGAGGGGGAGTATTGGTATTTGGTAGAGGAGGGGCCGATGGGTGCAACGGGTTCCAAGCTGGAGAAGGCCCTCGGCGACCAATTTCCCGAAGGCGAACGCTACTTTGGCCTCGAAAACTTCGGCAACACTTGCTACTGCAACAGCGTCTTACAGGTCTTCTTTATTCTTTTACTCTAAAGTTCCCAGTTTTTTTGAGTTTATAAAATCTGGGTTTAGCTTGGATTTGTAAAATAACAACAATTTGTCTTCATCCCTAGCTAGTTCTATATCTATCTTACTCAATTTGGACCTCTTTCCTTCGGATAATTCAAATAGTTTATGACAAATTAGTTTATCTAGTTATGTGTTTTTACTATTTGATCGGTTTCTTATAATGAATTTTGTATTCACTATCTGTTTACGAATTATAGGTTTAGTGAGGATTTGTCTGGATGCATAGTTTTGCAATTTGATTACTGTTTCGATGATGGATTTCGTTATCAGATAAAAAGTCAGTATTATGTGTAATTTAGGTTCAATAAACACTTCTATTTTAGGAGTAATTGCTGCCTTTTCCGATGTGATTAAATTTGTTGTGTTCTGAAACAGGCGCTGTACTTTTGTGTACCATTCCGTGAGCAACTGCTAGAGTATTATGCAAATAATAAAAGCCCTGCAGAAGCGGAGGAGAATCTTTTAACTTGTTTGGCTGAATTGTTCTCGCAGGTACCAGATACAATCTAAACGTGTGAGCTTTCTGTCTAATAAGTGGTATTTTAATGTTTGATGCTATATTCTGCTCCATTCGGCATGAATTTATTATTCTTTTACTTGATCAAAAGAATTCATGTGAAAAGTTTGATGTCATCCATGTGTCAAGTTTATCATGGGATTTGGCAAATCTAGCTTTAAATGCCAGATATCTCTGTGTCGTTCAACCAAAAAGTGGAAAAGGATGACATATAGTAGAAGATATCTGACTGTTGTGGACTTAATTCAATCAAGTGCTAGTTCAGTATGTTTAGCAACCTTATTCCTATTATCTTAATTTTGGTTAGAGGAAATTGAAGGAATGAGCATTTTGTAGCATGAGATTTTCTAGTTTTCCCGATTGAGAAGGCCAAAAGATTTGATAACCTGAGGTAGCATGACCGATCTGCATCTTTAACTGAAGAGTCATTTTAAAGTGCTTGGGAAGTAAGAAAATCAAGATAACATGATAGTCTAAGAGAAACAAATAAGAACTTTAAGCTTTCTCTTCTAAATTCCCTTTCCTTGAATTTTAACTTGGTTATGTTTCGTCGTGTAGTAGTGGTTTTCAAATTTTAACCTGAATATGAGGATTTGGTATTACCAGTTTTGCGATAACCAGGAATTTTTGTCTATCACCAGGTCAGTCTCAACATGATGTCTACAAGTTAAATTTTTAATTGAAAGTTGATAATTTAAGAATTACCATCAGGAAATAAAATTTCTATCGGGAGAAAAGTTTCTTTGTCGTTGATTGTTGACAGATTGTAGGCACGTAAACTTGTTGTTGTCATGCAGATAAGTTCACAGAAGAAGAAAACCGGTGTTATTGCTCCACGACGCTTTGTGCAAAGAGTCAGGAAGCAAAATGAACTTTTCCGAGGTTACATGCATCAGGTATTTGTTTCCTTGTACATTTTTGTATGTTCGTTACATCTATGTAAGAATCATTTTTTGGTTAGATCACAAAGGAACAAGTCACATGAACTTCTTGATGGCCTCAAAAGAATTTTGAAGGTGCAATCACTGTATTTTAAGAATTGAAATATTAGTTCATAGTGGTGACGTATAGAAAGAGACCTGTTTGAAAGAGAATAAGAAAATGAAAGAAAGATCATCTGAAACAAGTGCGGGAATACCTTTAAAATGTCAAACAAAGAGATGTGCCATGTTTACGTTTACTTAGATGTATAATTTTTAACTAATCTAGATCAGTTTGAAACAAGAGACAGGTCGGATGGCGATCCTAGGTCATCTTATGTGCTTTAGCATCGAAAGAATGCACTCTTCGTGTTACATTGATGTTATCTATCTTTTATTTTGAAGCATCTTCAAGGTGTAGTGATCCATTGCCCTTATACATTGTATTTTCCTCTGGGAGACATACCTGGTCCTTTTAACTATTTTCACGGCAAGGCAGAGGAAGTTTTTACCTTCTGACTCATCCAACTCACCCATGTTGTGCTTTACATGCTAAAACCACACTACTTTATTGTTAAACGATTACCATCTTTCTGTGATCATTTACGTAGAGGTGGAAAACGAGTTTCGCTGGGGTTTATGGGGTGGTTGGTTGCGTGAGGAGAAGAAGAAAAAGGAGGATGAAAAAGAAGAGTTACTGTTGAGATGCTCGTCTGCCTATGGCACAGGGAAATGACTATGAGAAGGAGAAAGAAATAGTTAGGAAGGAATGATAGTTGCAAGTCCTATTTTGACCTTAAAAATAAGAGATGTCAGTTAAACCTACAGAAGGTTGAGTGACTATTCTTTTTAAAGCTAAAGGGTTTAACTGCCATGGAAAATGGTTTAAGAAGCGAAGTGGCAAATTATCGTATATGATCTATACTCCATGTGCTATCCAGAATTATTAGAACACTGCTTATAATGCAAAATAAATTCCTAGTTCATCTTGGTTTTGATACATTTGATTTCTGTTCATGCTTTTGCTTAGGATGCCCATGAGTTTTTGAACTTCTTGTTAAATGAACTTGTTGATATCTTGGAGAAAGAGTCACATGCATCAAAAAGTTTAACGGCAAGTTCTCCTGAAAAAGTCGCAAATGGATCATGTAATGGTAAGAGCAATGGTGTTAAGAAGGAGCCACTTGTTACCTGGGTGCACAAAAATTTTCAGGTAAACTATCTGTGTCTTCACTCATTTAGAATTTCATCATTCTTGTCTATACATAATTTAACCACAGCAGTCAGTTTAGCATCCATGTTGCAGCTTCACAGGAGGTAAAAGAAGAAGACAGGGAAGAAAATTTCAAGTTATCTCTTAAATTTCTGCCAATGAACTTCTTTATATTGTCATTTGAGAGGATAAGAGGAAGGTTCTATATTGGGTCTTTCGACTTCGTTTCTCAGAGTAGTTAGAGGAGGACAAGGAGGAAAATCTGAAGTTGTCTCTTAAAATTCTGTCAATGAAGGTTATCAAAAAGATCTGTCTTATGAAATTCTTTTGTTCTGTCATTGGAAAGAATAAGAGGCAAGGTTTATGTTGGTCTTCTGAATTTGTATCTGATGCTCATGGATCAGTGAACAGAATCTTACTGTATAAATTAGAAGTGCTTACTTTACTCCACTTGTGATGCAATATTTGGATCCTAGAACTTAGCAAATAGTTTACTACTTTCTAGATCTAGAGACTGCTTAACCGGGCTATTTTTTCATATGAATGCAGGGTATATTAACCAATGAAACAAGATGTTTGAGGTGTGAGACAGTCACAGCAAGGGATGAGACATTTTTTGATTTGAGCCTTGATATTGAACAGAACAGTTCAATTACAAGCTGCCTAAAAAATTTCAGTTCGACAGAGACCCTCAATGCGGAGGACAAATTTTTCTGTGACAAGTGCTGTAGGTAGGTGCCTTCACCCTTTCCTTTTTAAACAACTAAAATGACAGGGAAAGTTACTTTCTTTTTATGAATTCAGCTTGCAAGAAGCACAAAAACGGATGAAGATAAAGAAACCGCCACACATCCTGGTCATTCATTTGAAGCGTTTCAAGTATATGGAACAACTAGGTCGTTACAAAAAATTGTCTTACCGTGTAGTGTTTCCTCTGGAGCTGAAACTCAGCAACACCATTGAAAACACGGACTCTGAGTATTCTCTATTTGCTGTTGTTGTTCATGTTGGGAGTGGGCCAAACCATGGGCATTATGTTAGTCTTGTGAAAAGCCACAACCACTGGTTGTTCTTTGATGATGAGAATGCTGAGATCATTGATGAGTCTGCTGTTCAGACCTTTTTTGGCTCAGCTCAAGAGTACTCGAGCAATACAGATCATGGCTATATTCTCTTCTATGAGAGCCTTGCTGCTAGCAAGAACTGATAAAGAGTTCTCACATGTCGAGACCTAACTATTTTGCCTGTCTCTGCTTAACTTCTGTCATGTTCAGCTTTCCCATGGTTTACTGGACTTGCTTAACAAATGTTTATGGTTCCGTGTACAACATACGAGGGTTTTCTAGCATTTGACTTGTTTTAACAATAAAGAGATGTAAATCCTGGTACAGAAACTTCAAACGAGATGTTGATATTGTATTATTAGATATCAAACTGCAAGGAGCACCAATGCACTTTGTTGGCAGAACTCCAAAAGCAGGAATAAGTGTCTCCTTTGTGTAATTTCAATCTGAAAGGATAGACTGCTGCTTTGTAGCTTTGTTTTGAAGTGGTTGAGATGAACACTGATGGACCTTGGTTCTAGTACTATATTCTTTTCCTTACAACTATGTGGGTATAAATTTTTTCTGACAAATTTTCCTGAGATAAGTTGAGCCTAATACTTGATTCCCTTCTCTTAAACTATGTGAGTATAAAGTTAATCGAATTTAGCGCTATAAAGTTAATTAAAACCCGCATAACTCTCTTATCTCATCATCCGTCTCAACTATACTGAATTTTGTGTTGGGTAGTTTGTGCTTAACACTCCTTTATAGGTATTCTTGACTATTAACTGCAGACCTTGTATATTCAATCAGTTACATTATTATCCTTAGAGAAATCTGTCTAGCAGTGATTTTTCTTACGTATGATCAATGTCAGTGTAGTTGAACCTGTACCTGGATGCCCGCAGCCCAGTTCTTTAAATGAATATAAATGATGACCCTTTATATAAGATCAAGGCGGAACGGCAATATAATATAAAAAGGAGAAGTGGAAATATAGACCTCTTTAGTGATTAAAGAACGAAACAGAGAATAGCAGCAGATATTCCCCTCAGCAGGATTAGAAAAGACTAGAGCTAGAGTTCCAATTAATTAAAGACAGGTACAACGATTAGACTCGTAGATTGCTTTAGTCTCTTTACAAGCAGTCATCTCCCAACAGATCACCCAAATTTCTGCTTATTAACTGGTTCTGAGAACAAAGATTTTTCCCAGGTGTGAGTAGCGATGCTATTAATAAAATTGGAGTGAAACTAAACGCAGAAGAGACAAAGAAAGCTAATGCAGCAGTCGTCTGCTAGAATTTTGAAACACCTGTCATTTACTAAGATTGTATAAATTGTTAGAAATGGAAAACAAGTTTCCAGAAGTGAAATTGAAAAGGAAAATTTATTTTGGTGAAAATTAATGGCTGCACATAGTAGCATTTCTTTTATGTTAACAAAAATCATAAGAATCTATATTGTATCGAAGTTTCCCTCAAGTATGCTAAAAGTGCAGAATTAGCTAGCTACTATTTTCTATGTATATACAATGAATCAACTATTAATTGGGCTAATCAAGGCAAAAGAAGCTTATTCAAATGCTATAGACATGAAAGTATCATCATCCAACAAATTTTCAACATCAAGCAACTCCTCTTCAGGATAGCTGGTATCTTCTGGGCTCTCCAGAATACAAGTTGGACCATCCTGCTGAAAGTGAAGAAGAAACGAATTACACAAAAAGCCAATCAAAACCATGAGTTCAGTTAGGCAGCTGAAACTTTGATTCACCAAACATGGTCAAGGGTAAATGCTCAAGTTCAAGGTAGAGCCAATATCTACAACCCAATAGAATTGGCTGTAATTTTCTAAAACTCTGCAGTGGTAAGGATATCAACAATTTGAAATACTCAGTCCATCAGACTACGTTCAAAAAGTCAAGGTACACTAATCCATCTATGCAACCAACAGCAAGATCTCTCTGCAACACAGAGACCTGTCCTAAACAATTTTTCCTGCTTTTATGTTACGTAAGTATATCATAAGAGGGTAACTTCAACTAACACAGTTCATAAGACGCATTTGGTCATGAAAAATAAACCAAGCTTATCAACCTAAGAGAAGATTTAGATTTTCCACAACGAGATGTAGCATTCTATTTTTCTTTTTTTCCTCTACTTTTCCCCGGAAAAAACCCTTTTCCAAGTTGTTTCCCTACAAAGGTCAGTCAAATTTTGATCTAGGAACTCGCCTAAACCCATAGTTCATGTTTTGCAACTTGAGAGCAACAACCATAGATCAAACCATTAAGTAGATGTGCATGCCAGATAATGGGAAAAGGAGCAGTTGTTATTTTCTGTTCAGTCAAAAACCCCAGTCAAAAAAAGTAAGCTACAGTTCTCTCCCTTTTCTCTAAACATCCTAGTATTGCATAAAAGCCATTCAACAACTCTCTGATGTAGCAATCATATTGAAGCATATTTGATGACATCAATGTTATACCTTTACTTCACGAAGTCCTTCAGCAGCAGTAAGCAGCCTACGATATTGAGCACGGCCCTCAGGATACTGAGTCATGGACTTCACCCTAGCAAGGGCTTTTTGCATCCTTACTTCAGTCTGTTTTCTTCCTTCCTTCAGAAAATCATAATCATCCTCTGGTAATGAGTCATCTTGTATGCTTGGCTTATTCATGACCACTTCTGATCTAAATCCCCTCAAACCACTTCTTTTACGTCTCCAGCGCAATATCACCTTCTCCAAAATTCCTACTGACCAGATAATTGGTTTATATTTCTTCCTCACCTGATGTCCCCTTACATGAGCCTTCACCATGAACAGTGAAAATGTCAGCGTGAAGAAAGAAAAGGACTAATAGATGTTGAGCACTTGAGCTATAGAAAAAGGGAAACTTTAAAACGATAGGTCAAATGTAATGTATCAGCTTAAGACAAGGACCCATATATGAAAATCTGATGATCATTTATCACAGCTTCCATATAACACAATCTGACTCGTGAATAAAATTTTTGCATTTGGAAGTCGGTTAAGCAACATAAAGGCAAGATAACCTCGGCATCACAGAAACAAAAACATATGTAACTTCCCGCCAAGTGTATAACAATATTGTGATTTGAAGGAAGCAATGCACCTGAATTTTAACGATTTTTTGCCGGATTAAAAGAAACTCTTTTCTCTTATTCCAGCCACGGAACTTTTTCTGGATTTGAGTGGCAGCTGCATGAGCTATACCATTGTTTTGTCCCAACTTACAAGCTCTAGAAGCAACAATGGAAAGAGCATTCTCATCAGATGATAACTCATTGTCGCTACGCTCAATAATTTGCTTCCTCTGAAACGACTGAACCCTGAAAATTTGATGTATCCGAGCAGCTGCTTGAGTAGCATTGCGTATAGCAGCCAGAGAATCCTTAAGTGAAAGTACATCTGGCATATCATCTCCAGTAGTTGTAACAGCCACACGCTCTGTAACTGTTTCTCCAACTTTTGCTCCAGAAACTTCTGAAGCAAGCTCTTCCTTTGCATCAGTCACAGTAAGCTTAGAAAGGTGAGTGGTCAAAGAGGATTCAGCAAGAAATCCAGATATCCCCTTGTGTCCATTGGCAGATGCCAGATCAGCGGGGGTTCTACCCAAGGGAAATTCAGCAGATGGGTCTGTCAACGCTCCAGGAGATGCACCTAAAGAGACAAGACCAACAACAGTCTTCTCCCTGTAAGATAAAAGCTTATTAGCAAGCTGCTCATTCTGTTGGAAGCTTTTTACGGGAATTAAATGATGATTGCACTACTTAATAAGATTACTAATGTCACCCAAGATAAAATGAAAGTAAGAAGTTACTTAGTCTTTAGATTTAAATTTGCTTTCAGCTTTCCGACTTGTCAATAGCAGATATGGAATAGATCCTTTAGACTTTCGTCTTTTTACAGCTATAGCAGAATTCATTAAAGAAAATCAGTTTTGATTGCCATGCCACCAATCATTACAATGAAATCCAGCTAACCTACATTCTTTTTATCTGGTAAAAAGCGGACTCTACATTGCTTGGACTACAAACAAAAGGAAATGGGCTTTATTGATGTTTGCTTTAATTGCTTTAGCATAGCACTTGTCTTTTTTCTTTTTTTGTATTGAACTCTAAGATAACTACCAAGACATATCCAAAAGTGTTAGGATCTCAACAAAACTTAGACCAGTTCTATCGGCCAAAGATCTCTTTTCGTTAAATGTTAACTAAGAAATTTCAGTTATGAAACAAAAATCACAGAACAATCAACACAGAACAGTGAGAATTGGCCACTGACTTGCTAAGTGAAGCATAAATGAGGAACTGAAAAATCAATCTATGGAGTATTTACCTGCCATAGAATGCAGCCCAATGAAGTGCAGTCCATCCATTCATGTCACGAAAATCTACACTTACCCCTGATGCTAAAATTGGCTTTAAGGCCCAATCATAACCAAGTGCAGCTGCCAAATGAAGTACACCTTGACCTTCATCATCGATAGCAGTTCGCCCTCTGCCATCATCAGTAACTTGGCGAACCAGCCATGCATAGAAATTCTGCTTCAGCTTTCTTTCAAGAAATAGATCCTCTTTCACTCCGCATTGGGATGTGTCATAGCCCGACGCTCTCTCTATCATCTGCTGATTCTCTTCCTCCATCATACAGATGATTTTATTCACTATACTTTGTTTCTCCTTAGCAGCCTCCATACTATCAGAACTGTGACAACTACTAACAGGTCCCAAGGACAATAAACTTTCAATTCGTTCAAGGAGATGCATCTCAGTTGCAGAAACATTGGCAGCACCAAATTCCTGATAAGCTCCAAGTCTGTATTCGAATTCTCTGACTTCACTACAAGCCAATCTATTTGAACATGTCACATAAAAAGGGAGTACTCCTGGTTTGTGTGGGGGAGCATGACAACGAAGTACCCCATCTGCTAAAACCTCTGCGGGAACCTCTATTTCCCCAAACATACATGACCACTTGCACTCTATCAGCTCGCCTTCACTCTTAAGAAATCTACCAGTAATCAATACCTGCTTTGTGTGTCGAAAAATCAGAATTTGAAAAGTCATCTAATATCTTTCAGTAAGTAAATTTCAATTCCTTAGCTAAAATAATGAGATTATGCATAATCTAGGCTATCGAATAATTGGTTGCATGATTGTGAAAGCTTGGGTGGAAATAACCAGTACGCAGCAAGGTCAAGAGAGGTAATTGCATTTGATAGAAAAAGTGGATACTAAGTCATGAAACTACTGCAAATCAATAGAGATTTCAGACAACAGGCGCCAGCAGTTCCAATCTAGCACTCATGCTAGAGAACATAAAAGCCAAATGCTTCATAATTTACCTTCGTTTCCAAGTTTGAATAAGCCCAATTAGGCGAAAAATCAATGATGCTGAAGACCTGCTCCTGGGAAAGTGAGGGATTCAGTGAATCTGAATCCACGTGCAGTTGGGTGGGTAGACAGGAACCATCATCCTCAGTATCTATAACATTCCATGAAATTTGATTAGTAGGCTGCCTATGCAACTCCT